AATGTCTTAATGGTAAATTCTAATGCAAGACAAGTTTGATGCATTACAGAATACAAAGGAAGTACAAGACACAGTTCCTGTCTTGAAGAGCTTATCCACAGTCACAACAGAGTACCTTGGAAAAGGATGTTAGTCCACCAACTGTAGTTCTTTTGCAATTCTATCAGTGCTTATAAAATAGAAGAAACTGGGGTAGTCTGGATAAGAATTGCTCCTATCGCCTAGTCCAGTCGTACACCAAATCCACCTGCAACTCCTGATATGCTGTTCTATCTCCCAGACAGTAAAAGTACCATTTGCAGGAACTATGGAGACACCCCAAGTAGGAGGATGAATTTGAGGCCCACAAATCAGGAGGCTACGGGGTATCGTGAAGGCCAGAATCTCTCAAATTCATGCTGTCATGAGGCTTTTTTTTTTTTTTTTTAAGATTTTTATTACTTGTCAGAGAGAGCGAGCGAGCACAAGCAGAGGGAGGGGCAGAGGGAGAAGCAGGCTCCCCCCTGAACAAGGAGCCCAATGTGGGACTCTATCCCAGGATTCTGGGATCATGACCCAAGCCGAAGGCAGACGCTCAACCAAGGTTTCCCATGGGGCCTCTTTTAAAGAGAAGAAATAATTCTTTCACCTCCAACACCACCAGTCTACCTCACTCTATAGCTGAAGTGCCCAAGAAGAGTAAAGAACACAGTTTTTTTAATTTGCTCCTAGAGAACCTGGCCATTTAAAGAAATTACCCAAATTCATAAGGCTGGTAAATTCAAATTTCTCATATAACATACACTTAAAATAAAAATACTCTAAATTAAATATATTTTAGTAAACTCCTTACCAAGATATTCAAACTGTGGAAGCTTCAAAAATTAAAAATAAAAAATATTGTTAAGTAAACTCTACCCCCAAAGTGGGGCTTGAACTCACACTCTCAAGATCAAGCTCACATGCTTTGCTGACTGAGCCAGCTAGGCGTCCCAAAATTAAAAACTTTTCAGTTGGTAGAGGACGCAACTCTTGATCTTGGGGTTGTGAATTCAAGCCCCACATTGGGCACAGAGCTTATTTTTAAATAAATTAAATAAATTAATTAAATAAATAAATATTTTTTCAACCTAAATCCTACCCAGCAGTGATGACCTCATACTAAAGACCACCCTGAAGAGAGAATGAGCTTTAAATTCTGCAAACAAATCTACAGATCCTCACCTGATTAGTCTTTCTCTGAATTATACAGAAAAAGGTATAATTTTTTTTTTAAGATTTTATTCATTTGACAGAGATACAGCGAGAGAGGGAACACAAGCAGGGGGAGTGGGAGAGGGAGAAGCAGGCTTCCTGCCAAGCAGGGAGCCCGATGTGGGGCTCGATCCGAGGACCCGGGGATCATGACCCAAGCCAAAGGCAGAGGCTTAACGACTAAGCCACCCACGCACCCCAAAGGTATAATTCTCTTAATTGTTACACAAAAACTGGTGAGCACAAGACCCTATAAATTGCTTTTTTAAAAAGATGTGTGGGAAAAAATAAAAATAAATTAAAATTAAAATTAAAAAGAAGGGCAGGGTGCCATTCAAAGATCTAAAAAAGGGAAGAAGGAGGGTATTAAAAGGTAAATTGAGGGATGCCAGGGTGGCTCAGTTGTTAAGTGTCTGCCTTCGGCTCAGGTCATGATCCCAGGGTCCTGGGATGGAGCCCCACATCGGGCTTCCTGTTCAGCAGGAAGCCTGTTTCTCCCTCTCTCCCTGCTTGTGTTCCCTCTCTCTATCAAATAAATAAATAAAATCTTAAAAAAAAAAAAGTAAGTTTGGGTACTTAAGGAAAAATGTACATTGGCACGTATTAATTATAATAAGACAATTATGTGAAAGAAGCACATGAACAAAAAGTGTCTTCCATGTACTACTGTTTTTAGGACCCATAGCTTTGAAATTAGTTTGGTTTACAATATTTTTCCTTGTAATTGTCCTTGTCATCATATAACTTTTATCCAAACTTAAATGGACTCATATAAGTTTTACCCATTTATCCACAATCCCTTAACTTCAATTCCAAAATCTAAAAGGCTGTAAAAATAAGTTTTTCATTATTCATTTGGTAGCAAAACCCAACATGAAATGACATAAAGCTATGTATAGTATTCACTTATACCAGTTGGTGCGAACATTTACTATAAAAATGGTAATGTGTTTGATTACAAGGTGCTGCCCCTCACCTCTCTGGGATGTTACATAACACACAGTACATGTACCATATTCCTTTTCTAAAATCCCAAAAGTTCTATATTCAAAAAACATCTGGTCCCAAGAACTGATGTGCTGTGTTGTTTTTTTTTTTTTTGGCCCCAAGGTACTATGGACTGGTATGCTAATTAAGTCTGTCTTATACAGAAAATATAACTAATAAAGAGAATGAAGGTAGATCTTCAGATAAAATAAATTCAATGCCTTAACAACTATTCACACATACACAATCCTGTAAAACGAAGCATTAAAAACTTTTTTTTTTTTAAAGATTTTATTTATTTATTCATGAGAGACAGAGGGGGAGAGAGAGAGAGAGAGAAGCAGAGGGAGAAGCAGGCTCCCAAGGAGCAGGGAGCCCGATGTGGGACTCAATCCCAGGACCCTGGGATCATGACCTGAGCCGAAGGCAGACGTTTAACCATCTGAGCCACCCAGGCGCCCAGCATTAAAAACTTTTAACAAATGTCAAAACTCAAACACACCATTATGTGTTTTTTCAAGTGATGGTGGTATCTGCATCATCCAGTATCTAGATCAATTCTTCTTAGGTTGAAATTCACTAACTTAAATCACAGTTAAGATAGGCCAAAGACTGCCAACTGGCAATTAAGTTGAGAAAAAGAATCATCCACTGGTAAATAACAAACTCAGTAAAATGTTCTGATTTTTAAGAAATTTATCTCAGAGGGTTGCATATCTAAAATCATCATTCTAGGGACGCCTGGGTGGCTCAGTCAGTTAAGCCTCAGCCTTGGGCTCGGGTCATGATCTCAGGGTCCTGGAATGGAGTCCCGAGTCCCGCATCAGGCTCCTTGCTCAGCAGGGAGCCTACTGCTCCCTCTGCTTGTGCTCTATCTCAAATAAATAAAAATTAAAAATAAATAAAAAATAAAGGTATTATTCTAGAATACAATTTCTCAACTTTGAACAAATTACAATTGACTTTTTCTGTGAAAGTAGGGCCTCGGACAGGGACAGCAACAGGAACAGCTCTTGAAGATATTTGACCTGGAAGAAGAGTTTCACAGTTCTTTCCTTCCTTCCTCCTTCAGTTGCTGCTTTTCTGGTTTTAGAATTTCAAACAAAGAAATACATATTGGCTCCACTGCTAAGAAACGCCCTCTTTCTCAGCAACTTCCTCTTCCAATTTTCTTCCCTACCATTGACATATGAGAACAATACACACTGCAGGTCCTACCATTTTGATTAACCAAAAGCTAAGGCTTGGAAAAATTAAGGGCTACAATTTATTGTATCCAACTACGAGTCTCTGACTCCAGGTCCACAATCCTCACTCATCTACAAGTCAGATAACAGGGAACACAAAGAAAGGAAGGAACATTATACTTCATCAGAGGCAGGATACTGAAACTTTCGTTCCAGGAATCCAAAGAAATTTGAACAAGTGGGAAATTTCTCTCGTCCCAAGAAAATTTAGCCTTCTTAGGGAGAAGAAAAAGTTACCGGGCTGGCACCCCTCTGAACTAAGAGTCAAGTCCATACACCAACAGTTGGTGAACTTCTACAAGTCACCCAGTCAGGATTCAAAATGAGTTCTTTGAGGTTCTGACATACTTCAAAGTAACTTTTACAATTTAGAAATGGTCCTTTCCAAGTCACAGACTGAAGAAAGGGAATGCACTTATAATTAGCCATCCAGAGATCAAGGTCCAGCCTGTCTCCAGGCCAGAGGTCAATTCAAGTGTCTGGGACCAGACCCCTCCCCCCGTTTGTGACAAAGCAAACTTCTTTTCAGTGGACAATGACTTCCCCCTTGTCTAGTGATTCTCAAAGGAAACCACCTTACGGTTGATAAGCTCTGTACCTCACCGTGTGACCTTGGACAAGTTACTTAATTTCTCTGAAACTCAAGTTTCCTTATGTGTAAATTCCCAACAGCGGCTGTAAAAATTAAGTAAGAACATAAGCCTAAATAAGGGCTGGCACATAGTAGGAGCACCATAAATGCTCCCCCTCCTACTCCTAACCCTCCTGAATTCTTTCGGGCCTAAATTTCAATCATTGCTCCAAGAGGTTCCAAGGATGCTTTCCTCTCCTCTGATGCTATGGAGCACCAGTATATAAAACTTTGCCATCTCAGAGGCTCTAGGATCCTGGAGGACCAAGACAACCGCAGTCCACCTCATCATAGTCTGGGATCCATCCAGTTTTCATGGAACTTTAGCCAACTCTAGCCCTGCAGAACCATCCCCGTACACATATATACATACATACACACACACGTACGTGCACAGTCCTCTCCGCCACTCCTCAACTTAGCAGACGAGGGATCTCAAAGAGCACTACAATTCCTTCATGGCCCAAAGATGGAAACTGAAGCTCCGCCTGGAGAAGAACTTGCCCAAGGCCTCCGAGAATATCTGAGATCCAACTCATGTACAACTGCCTGCAAAGCCTTCGTTTTACAAATAGGGAAACGAGGCCCAGAGAGGGAAGTGACTTGCCCAAGGTCACACAGCGAGTGAGTGGCAGCGCCAGGTCAGGTTGGGGGCACTTTCGCAGCCTCACAGATTCGCCGGCCCCTCCAAGTCTCCGAGGGGATCTCCAGGACACCTCCTCCCTGGGGAGGGGAGTGTAGAGTAAGAGGCCACCCCGCGCTGACCGCTCGACCGGGCACTGCCCATCCGCCGCAGGAGGCGCGCCACCCACTCCCCCGGGACCCCGCGAGGCTCGGGGGGTGGCGGCGCGGTCGGGCCGGCGCCCCACGGTGGGGCCCGCCCGCGGGGACTTGTTGCTCACCTGGTCTCGCACGGTCGCCCTCAGCGACAGATGGGCCGGCCAGCCGCCCTTCCCCGCACGGGGCCTGTTCCCGCGGGCCGCCTCCGGGGATGCCACACAGCCAGACCCCCCTCAGCGCGCTACGCCCCCAGCCGCGTTCACCCGGCCCGTGTCCGCCATTACGCGATTTCCCTCCCTGGGACGCAGCCACACCCCGCCAACGGCCCTGATTGGCTCTCTGCCCCACCCTCCTGGGGCTTTCGGGCATCCCATTGGCCTGAGTGGAGTGCCAGTTAAATAGCTACGCAAAAGACGTACTCAAGGATACCGACTGGGGAGCTCCACCCGAGCTACTTCCGCAATCGGAGTAAACAGCGGGAGGGCAAACCAAGTGAAGTGGGGGTGGAGATTAAACTGAATCAACGCCTAAATTCAAGGTAGGAAAATCCCACCTAAGAGAGTGTAAAAACTCGTACAAAGTGTATTCAAAGATGAATTCTTCTTGTTAGAGTTCAAAGAACCAGCATTTTTGGTGGAAGGAAGGGGCCAAAACCATGAACTTTCTATGGACACCCCTCAAGTTGCAGATAGTTTTGCCTCTCCTCTCCGAGTCTCGGGCCCGACCGAAAGTAGGGTGGGGGAGAGTGAGTCATCGGCTCCAGTCAGCCGCTAAATGATTCTTCCGGGCCGAGGTCTGGGGTCCTGGGACTGGGAGCTGGTTCTGACCGGCCAGGGTCAGGTGAGCCGAGACCGTGGTCAGCCGCCACCTAATTCTGCGACCTCAGACGACTTCCTGAACTTATCTGGGTCTCAGTTTTGTCCTTCCGCAGAATAGGACCAGTCATGTCTGCCTCACGCCCTGGCGCGTTTGTTGCGGCTGCATGCCTGAGTTGGGTATATGTGCGTCTTGTTGATTACAAAAGGCTGCAGCTGGATACCATATGTCAGATTCACAAGTTAGCGAAAATCTCTCATTTAGTTCTCTAGATCAACTCTGTAAGGCGGATATTGTCCTCGTTTTGCAGGAGAGAAAATTGAAAACTCCAGGGTTTACCCTGGGTCACCCAGGGAATTTGAAACAACCCTAGGACTCAAACTTGTATCTTTTGTCTTCCATTTCTGTATTTCTCCTTCCAGGCCTGGTGTCCCCTGAGAAAGACGTTCCTCCACCAACCCTTTAGCATTCCAGGGAGTGTCTCGAGAGTGCCAGGCCAGTTCCCCTCTCTCTGGTCACCATAGGCCCCAGATGTTTCTAGGGTCCTAGGAATCAGGAGGTGAGTAGGGGATGACGGGCGGGTCAGCAACCCAGACAGAATCCCAAACAAGGACAGAGAGGGGGCAGTGACACCATTGTGGGCCCTCAGCAGGGCAGCCTCCATGCCAAGACTTAAATCCAGGTCTGTCTGCTCTCAGAACAGGGCTCTTTTCATTGCAGGATTGTTTTTCCCAGAAGGGCTGCCTTGGCTGTAATTCCTAGTCCTTTCCCTCTCTGGAAAGGAAGGAGGCCAAGATGGGAGTGGGAGGGGGAGCAGCCTAAGACTTTAGAAGGGTAGAGACCACCAAGTGCGTGGTGCTGAAAGAGCCTCAGTGCTGGCTGAGTCCGTGACCTCCAGGCTCAAACTGGGACGTGTGGTCTGACAACCAGTGACTATTTAAATTGTGACTGTGGCCATTGGGTGCTGCGAGGCAGCAGGTGCTGTGCAGAAGTCAGTGGCTTTGGGTCAGCCTGACCTGAAATTGAATCCAAGCTCCACCACTTTCTAGCTCTCTGAGCCTCACCTATGTCTTCTCTAAAATGGGGACAGGGGCGCCTGGGTGGCTCAGTCATTAAGCGTCTGCCTTTGGCTCAGGTCATGATCCCAGGGTCCTGGGATGGAGCCCCACATCCGGCTCCCTGCTCGGCGGGAAGCCTGCTTCTCCCTCTCCCACTCCCTCTGCTTGTGTCCTCTCTCTCTCTCTGTCAAATAATAAATAAAATCTTTAAAAAAAATTAAAAATTGGGGCGCCTGGGTGGCTCAGTTGGTTAAGCGACTGCCTTTGGCTCAGGTCATGATCCTGGAGTCCCGGGATTGAGTCCCGCATCGGGCTCCCTGCTCAGCAGGGAGTCTGCTTCTCCCTCTGACCCTCTTCCGTCTCGTGCTCTCTATCTCTCATTCTCTCTCTCTCAAATAAATAAATAAAATCTTTAAAAAAAAATTAAAAATTAAATGGGGACAACAGGGCAGTTGGGAGGATTCAGTGAGTTAATTGTGGAATTAATAAGTCATGTGAGCAAAGTACCTGGTAGCTATCTATTCATTCATGGATTCATCTATTCAATAAAAAATTATGAAGCGCCAGGGCGTGTGGCTGGCTCAGTCAGTAGAACATATGACTTGATCTCAGAGTCAGTGAGTTCGAGACCCATGTTGGGTGTAGGGTTTACTTAAAAAAAAAAAAAAATTAAGCACTGACTATGGATAGGCAGCCTGCCAGTGGTGCAGTACAACGGTGGGCAAAACAGGCAGACCCACATGGAGCTTAGTTTAGCAAGGAAGTAAGTCATAAAACAAATGACCAGACAAAATAGAGTTAGAAACTATGATAGTGAACAAGAAGGCAAAGTACAAGGTGTTTATTATGAGAGTGAATGTCAGGATGGGGTGGGGCCAGAGGAGACTCCCTGAAGAGGTGATATCTCAGGGTGAGTTGGTGAATGGGGGTTAACTAGGCAGCAGGTGTTTGGAAGAAGTGTTGCAGGCCAAGAGAAAGGGTGTGGAAGGCATTCAGGCCAATTGGGATAGGTGGCAATGGGGAGGGAGGGCAGAGCTCATGCGGGGGCCTAAACAAATGAGGTGTTAACAGGGGAGGGAACCTGGCTTTGAAAGTGAGGCTCATTTCCAAGGGTCTGTGTACTTTTCTGGTAGGCCCTGAATGCAAGCTTTGAGGCCAGCCAGGGTTTGAATCCTCACTCTGCCATCTCACCTCAGACTGTTGTGACCTTGACCCGTCACCGCACCTCTCTATGCCTCATCTCCTAAGAAATGGGGATAATGATAAAGTGTCATAGGGTGGGGGTGAGGATTCAATGTGGAACATGTCTAAAGTGTTCTGGCACTTGGAAGGCGCTCCATAAAAGGTGCTCGGTCTTCCCAGCATGGAGGGAAGTGAGCCTGAGGCAGCAGATCTATCAGGTAAGTTTGGGAGAGAGCTGATGCAAGCGTCTATACACTGGGCAAGTTGTCGTCTGACCTTAATTATTTTGGAAGACCCTGAAGCCAGGCAAGCCTGGATTCAAATCACAGCTACAGCACTTCCTAGCAGTGTGACCTTGAGCAAGTGACTTCACCTCTCTGAGCCTCAGTTTCCTTATGCATAAAACGGGAATCATAATTGTTTTTATCTTCCAGAACTGTGAAAGTTAAATGAGGTAATAGATGCAAAGCACTTAGCACAGTGATTGGCACACAGTAAGCAGCTGTTGAATGTTAACTTTAATAGTATTATTGTCATTGACTCTAACAGTAACTTCATTGGTAATTTAATAATAATTATTATTGTCGATATCCGCATTACCACCTGTCCTAGGTAAGACTCTGGAGCTTTGCTTGAAGGTTGTCTGGCAACAGGAGCCATAGTTTCTCCTTTTATGGACATCGACAAGATGCTCTCTGGGGATGGTGCCGAACACTTTAATAGTGATATTAATAAGCACTAACACTGAGCATTTCCTATGTGTCAAACACATGCTAAGTGCTGTCCATGCATTAACTCATAAATCCTCTTTGTAGTCCTATGAGTGAGGTCCTGTCATTACCATCATTTTACAAATGAGACAAAGGAAGCATGAAGAGGTTAAATGACTTGCCCAAGGCCACCCAGTCAGCAAGCAGCACAGCTGGAATTCGAACCCAGCCTCTGAGCATGAGTGGACTTAATGCTCTTGAGGGTAAGCCCTCCCTCTTCTACCCAAGCAGTTATAGTTACCACCTGGTGGGATGAAGTTATCCACTGCCAGTAGCCGAGTCCCAGGCTCTGAAGACCAAACCCGTCTCTTTCCCACCAATTCTGAAAAGTAACCCTTGCCTGTTTGTTCCCTGCCCTGCGGGGCAGATTAGAGCAGGGAACAGACCCTCTTCCTCTGCAAGGGAAAGCAAAAAGACATTTAGAGTCACCAGAACTGGGTTTGAGTCCCAACAGTCTTGGCCTAGTCACACCCCCTGTCTAAGCCTCAGTTTCCTTATCTATGAAATAGGGATGATAGCAGCTCTGCCTACAGGGCTGTTGTGAGGAGCAGAAAAAATAAGGCCTGCATAAACTATGAAGTGCTGTCAGCACAGGAGGGCCTCTCATTGTTGCTATGGGGATGGCAAACACCCTGGGGAAAGCAGCCTAAACCAGTATAGCCGGCAAAATTGACATCTCCAGAAAAAGTCTTGGGTTTGAGTCCAGGATCTGCCTGTTACCCCCTGTGTGACCTTAAGCAAGTTATAAAACCTCAGTTTTCTCCTCTATAAAATGGAGTGAATAATACTGGTCTTGAGCTGGGGCGAAAAACACATTGAGGGAATGCATAAAAAGCCATGAACCAATTCCCGGTACAGAGCTGGCAGAGCCCAGTGTGTTAAGGGATTCTAGGGGAAGAAACAAAGCACAGGGACCATGAAGAATCACAGTGACCCCTCTTCACCACCCCTAGTTGAGGGGAAGGGGATGGAGACCACTGTGTTCAGAGCCCAGAATAGTTTGCAGCCGCTACCCTACCTCTAGCATCCTCAGCTCTTGCTGGATCCACTGCCTCTCTCTCTCTCTCTCTCTCTCCTCCCCCCCCCCCAAACAAGTTCTTCTCCACTGAGCAATCCCAGGGGGCCCTGAACCTCGGTTCCAGCCAAGCTCGCAGGCTTTCCCCGCCTCCACATCCTTAATCCACAGCCTTTGCATTTGCCATTCCTTCCACCTGGAATGCTCTCTCCTCCCGGAGCGCCTGTGATGGGGAAAGGGGGGTGCCTGAGGGAAAGGATCTGGAATGATGCTCCCCTACCTCCTCACTCCCCTCCCCTCCATCTCCCACGCTGCATGCCTGACCTCCCCCCTCCCAGCGTGGGGGGATGAGGCAGCATCAGGAGGGGGAGGACTCCGTGAAGGGCCCTCTATGGGGTTTTTCACCTGCTCAGAAGAGGGAGACAGAAATGAAAGCTCTAGAAAAACGCCTGC